ACAGGAGCTACAGAGCTGTGATTATTATGGATGGAGTGTCCACCAGGATACCTGTGTTATTTCCTGGAGGCCTCTTCTTCTGACAGAAAACCCTCCTCTCCATTCCCACATCCCTTTTTCCAATAGAGCTCTTTTGGAAAAAGGCTTCTTCCTCATAGAAAAAGGATTACCAATGCTGGAAAAGCCCTCTGTTCTTTTGATTTACTTTCGAAAGAACGTGATTACAGTGTGGACGTAACTCAGGTTTTGTCTGAAAAATGGCCATTTTTCCGACAAGATTCTGTAGTGTAGACATACCCATATAGTTTCACAGTTAAAGTTTTGTTGGCAAGGCCTGTCACATTTAGGCTTTGCTCAGTAACAAATTATGGGTCTTCACAAAAGATTTAAGAACTACTACTACATCATGAAGAAAAAACAAGCAGTATGGTAACTATGTAGATTTTATTTGGAAACACTTGATAGCTTTTAAAGATAATTTTGTAGTCATACTTAGTTGACACAAAAGTAATTACTGTAGATCATATTCTCCCTGACCACATAAAAAAGTGTGGGAGAATGGACTTTCTTTGAACTATTGTCTTCAGAGGTGGAACTACATTTCTGTAAGGCAAGTCACTAGCAATGAACAACTGGCAGGGCACGTGGCCTGCCAGGTTACCTACAGATCGACAAACCATAGCAAAAATAGGTCAAATCTCATATATCCTTGAATACAAATACATAGCTTGTAACACTCTTCCTTCCCCTACAGCACATGTAATATGACTCCAGAAGCAAGGGTTCTAAAGAAATACCAACTATAGCAAAACTCGTGATAAAATTGCAAGAGTTGGCAACACAAATATCTACACTCACCTCATGTAATGCCTACAAAAAAATTCAACAAGGGCTAAGGATTTGTTATGGTGAGACCACTGCTTTTCAGGCTGACCAGTGTTGTCTCACAATTACCTTCTACACCCACATCTGTTCATTGTATCCATTTGCTGTATTTTATGTTATAGTTAAATTGCAAGAACTTCAGTGGGGGAGGTTTATGTTGGATATTAGGAAAAACTGTTTTACTTGGAGGGTGGTGAAGTACTGGAATGGGTTACCTAGGGAGGTGGTAGAATGTCCATCCCTAGAGGTTTTTAAATCTCAGCTTGACAAAGCCCTGGCTGGGATGATTTAGTTGGGGCTGGTCCTGCTTTGGGTGGGGAGTTGGATTCAATGACCTCCTGAGGTCTCTTCCAACCCTATAATTCTTTGATTCTATGAAGAGTTTGTGTCTGTATAGTGCCTGGCACAATGGAGCCCTGGCCCATGACTGCTCCACTTTGGTGCTATCACACTATAAATAAATGATGACGACTGTAGCAAGTATTGATTAATACATGTATGAGAAGAACTTCTATAGTCCTAGAACCTTAATGCTCCATCTGGCCTACTGGGGATCACTTACCCTGCAGGGACACCGCCACCACTCAATAATACTGAGCTTATTTAAAGAAGATATTCTTCTGTAACACAGGTGAGATGTTTAGGCTCTAGCACTCCACGTCAGGACTGGAACATCTTACTTTAAAGAAGAGGTCATACAGACTTTCTGGAGTCATGTGCTATATATTTATTAGGTAGCCACATCACTAATCAGATTTCTGTACTCACAAATTCTTTAGCAAGACTTCTTATTTCTATAGTGTATGCCATGGCATAGGATATGGTTAAATTAAATAACCATTCAGTTTGTTGTCTTTGGTAATATTCATGGAAACCCTTAAATCAGGAAAGCATAGGTTTACCTGGAAGCTAGTGGGAATTAACCACATGCTAGAAGTTAAGCATGTTTTTTAATGTTTTATTGACTACGGCTTGATTTAGGCACAGGCTTCCCCGCTTTCCTGGGTTGTAGCCACTGTCATTAAAACTGTCTACTTTATACCAGATCAGTTTTCACATAAACAAGTAAACACCATTTAAACTAAGTCTGTGCTCCAATTTGAAATACATGTTTCACACTTATGGCCTAAGCCTAAATCAATAAACAACACATAATTTAAGAAAAAAGTTAAAAATGCCAAACACTCAGGATGTAGTTGCATTTGTTATGAGGTGCTGCTTTTTAAAAATTATTATTTTTAAATGATGAATTTCAGATATACATTTTAGCATATGAAGGAAAACAATGCAGAAGTTGTGGCTGATTAGAACTGAAAGTGAGCCCTGGTTTGACACATTAACTTAATCCGGTTTCTTCAAAGTTCACATCATTCTACCTCTAATTTATGTTATATGTGTTATATATCTTCGTGGTTGAACAATTACATTATTCTAAACAATTAAATTGCTATGATACACATAATGCATGGCTGCTGAGCATAAAGTTCTTTAATGATAGCACACTCTAAAGTGGTACAGTTCACTTTTAAAAGGTCATGCATCTTTTTTCAGTAGATTAACATTTTATCTTTTAATGGTGTTAAGAAAAGGTCAAAGATTCTACCAGATGGAATATGGAAAGCTTTTGTTGAAGAAGATCAATGTGTTAAGCATCAATCTAAGTCCAGAAACACAGCCATTTAATGACTATTGTTCTTTTTTTATTTTAAATTACCACTATCCTAAATGCTAAAATTACTTTTTCATATTGGAAAATGGAACCAATTTCTTCCTAAAGAGATGCCTCTAATGTAAAGAATATCATCTATTTGTCTGTTGTATTTTCAGGAATATTTCTAGATTTCAAAAAAAAAATCCTTTAAATAATTAGTTTACCCTTAAGCTAATGGCATTTTTTCTTAACTGCCATCCAAACAAATGAAGTAGGAATGACCTCCAACAGAAAAAGAGTTATACTGGTTTAACTGAAAATGGTTGCAATTATTAGATGGAATGTGTGATTTAAATCAGTTTACTTTTCTTAGGTAACATGTTTAAAGAGAAAAAATTAAATCTTGGTGGTAATATAGGCTGCACTTATTGCAAAAATGTTCAAGAAGGGATAAGAAATTATATTTATGTAATGGATCTTTTTAACAGTATACAGTAACAGAACAGAATCTTAGGCCCAGATCCTATAAAGGACTACACATAGCCTTATCTTTCAACATCCAAGCAGTCTCATTGACTTCAAGTTTAAAGTTAAGAACATGTGTAAGTGTTTGTAGAAGTCTGTAAGCTCTTCTGAACTGTGAATGTGTCTGGCTGTGTTTGGAGAGTACCTAAGACTATGTTCACACAGCAGCATTATTTCAAAATAATGTCGAGCTGGAGGACTTCTTACTCTGACTCCTGTAACCCTCATTTCATGAGGAGTAAGGGAAGTCGAAGGAAAAGTGTTCTCCCTTCAACTTCCTGTAGTGTGGACAGAGCCAAAAGTCGAGTTAATTACGTCAACTTTAGCTATGCAAATAATGTAGCTGAAGTTGCGTATCTTAATTTGACTTTTGTCCCATAGTGTAGATGTATCCTCCCCTAATAAAGTCAACAAAACTGATTTTCTGGGTACTATTATAAAATACAGGTTGTACCTCCCTAATGTGGTACTCTCTGCTCCAGCAACATACGTGGTCTGGTAGGACCACAGAGGTTGCTGAACCAGACAGCCTTGGGGTAAATGGGCCAGCGATGGGGCCAGGAGCCCTGTGGCAGGGAAGGGCCTGGTGGAATGGTCGGGAACCTAGCAGCATAGCCAGGAACGCTGCAGTGGGTGGGGATGTCCGGACGTAGACTGGGGGACCCACGACGGGTGGCCATTCAGCAGTGCGGGGAGCCTGGTTGTTCAGGGAGCCCAGTGGAAGTGGGGTCCAGCCGTAGCTTGGAGCCCTATGGCAAGAGGGATCTAACCAGGGCTGACAGCACAGCCATCTGAAGGCAGGGAGGTGGCCGAGGCTGGAAGCAGAGCTGGTGGTGGGCTGGGGGGCTGGTGGCAGGAGACCTGTCTTGGTCTGGCTAATTCTATGCCTAGCAGAATGTCATCAATGGGAGAGTAGTACTGATAAAAGCAACTAGAGATTATTTTCCTCATGACTTCTTGGGAATGACACCTGAGAGTCCAGAGGCAGTTATACAAGCAGAGCATTTTCAGTCAAGACACCATATTGGCAAACATGTACATGTGTCACAGAGCAAGCAGGAACTGGTGGGTTTCAAAATGTAACAATTTGATGGTGCTGTACTTTGACACAGGACCATTCAAAATGGCAGATGCCTGGGAGGGAAGCATTGACCTGATTCTTGGTTGGCAACTGCCTTCATTCTCATGGAAATATCTATTGCTTGGTCATTTTACTCTCTGATAAACTATACTATTCTGCCATCAACATGACCCCAGGATTAGAAACACAGACTTAATTTTAAAGAAATATTTTGAAACAGTCATTAAACATGTACAAACCCCTACCACTCCACCCATATACCAATGAAATATTTGTTTGCAGCAGGTTATAAAACCCAAATGGTTATCTAAGACAAATTTCTCATTTAAAGCAGGAACCAGTGATTTACCATTTATTCTCATTGGCAAAGAAGATTATAAAATCCAGAACAATTGCTCTAGGATAGAGGTCAAAAAGCACTATCTTGACCAGCCCGCTTCCCTGCCAAAAAAAAAAAGAAAAAAAGAAAAAAATGACTGACAAAATACTACAGGTAAAATATATGGATCCAGCATTCTATGGCTGCTGGTAAACAAAGGATATAAGTCCTCACACTTTAGGGCTTTAGACAACCTGTAACTATTGGGAGTTAGGAGGAAACTTTCCCTGGTTGTAAGTCATCCATAACTGTCCACAGCAAGGCTTCCTGCATGTTTCTTTTGAAGCATGTTACACTGGCCACAAGTGGTGACAGGACATTGATCTAACCCAGAATGACAGTTCCCGTGTTTCCAAATATTGGTTGCTTGGCATTGAAGTTTTTCTTAGAAGTAGTAGTCCACTCTAATATTCTACACTGGGTAAAAATGGAATTGTGGGGTTAAATATTAAACGTATATTCTACACTGGGTAAAAATGGAATTGTGGGGTGTCTTGCTTGTTTATTTTAGAGTTAAATATTAAACATTAAAGGATACCTGCCTCAGACTCTATCTGCCCTCTACTGTCAGGTTATCTTGCACAACGGGAATGCCAGCACTAGTCCACTCATCTTTCCAAAAATATTTGTGATAAAAGATGGTTTCACAGTACGTCCTGAAGCCAACTGTTATGGCCTGGGATTAGCAGCATAAGGGGGTAATGAATTCCAAAGATGAAGAGCCCTGTCAGAAGCGTCCTTTCTGTGAGGGGAATTAGCTGAGGTAGATATGCTGATTTCAATTGCAGCAACATGGTTTGTTGAGAGCAGCTGTCTCTGGGGAGAATAGTTCTATGGAATTTAGGGTTTGTCATAATCAACACCTTCAATTCCACCTCACAGCCAAATGGCAACCACAGAATACATATATTCTCCCCCCTCTTATCCTTGAGAAGCTCTCGAAAGTTTAAAAAACACCAAGCACCCCACCTTTAGCAAAAGAACCTAAAGTGGAAGTGTTCCCAGTAGCTGTTACAAAACAACTTATGATGCAGCAACCGGACTTAATAACCAGGTCACGGTTCTATGCACCTGATCCTGGACAGAATTAAAAGCCCTTTTAGAGGACATGCAGCGTAATGCAGGAGAGCTCCCCACAGTATGGTTGGAATGTGTAGCTTTAAATAACGGATCAGAGGTAGTATATATTGATGGTAAGTTAATCTTTGAATCAAGCAAGCACCCATATTTTACCCTAACTCCAATTCTTCCTGGCTTTATGATGTAACCTCTTGTAAGTTGCATTGCAGAGGTCCAAACTAGAATTCACAAAAGACATAGTTCATTGTAGCAAGGTCCACATCTGAAAAGAAAAAAAGACAGTGTTGTCACCAGGACAAGATATAAAAAAGTAGTCTTGGGGTCACTGCTGTGAGGTGACTGTCTTGGAGTCTCTGGGAATGTAACCAGACCATGAGATCGTGAAATGCTGGCTGGACAGCTTCAACTGAGGAACTGATAAACTCGCTCCAAATCCTCTCCTTATCTTCTCCAATCCACCACAGCCACTTCACTCTTAACTGAATAAAATCTCAGCCCAACTCCCTCTCAGAAAAGAATGAAGCCACCAAAGACCAGCCCCATCCACTCATAGACATATCAGCACTACAGTATAATGTACAACATCTAAAGTAGTGTAAACACTTGGTCTTTGTAAAGCAATTGGTACCCTTCCCTCTTCCAAAACAGATACTGACAATATCATTTAGCGAAGGATAAAGTACTTCTACACTGTCCCTTACCAGTCAGATGTAACTACAGTCCAAAGCATGGGGTCAGAAGGTTTAAAGATCACAAAAATCCTTCAGGACTTTCTCAATCCCTGTAAACTTTATTGGGTATAATTTAATCATGGAAGATAGAGCATTAGTTTATTTTATACCAATGACTAATGCAAATGTATTTAAATTACTTTTTTTTTGTTGCCTAAAATGAAAGCAAAAGTTTGAGAGTCAAGCTGGGATCCTTCTTTTTCACAGCTCACCACCAGCAATAAAAACTCTGCAGGTGAAATTATGCCCTCAGCAACAGCTTTGCTACACCATTGTCCTCAGCAGGCTTGCAAAGGGATCACAATATTACAATACATAAGATTAAACAGAATCCAACTCACTTTCTCTTAGCTGTGTTTGTTCCTCAGGGCTAGCAAGAGTGGGAAGCAGCAAATACGTATGTTTCCCATCTGAGTCAGCAAGTATATTCTTCATATACACAGGAAGAAACTCAACTGATGAAGAAAATATCATTTTTACAATTACTTTCTACAGTAGAAATACTCTTTAAATCCAACCAGCCAATATGGCGCCACCCCAGTGGCACAGCAACAACAATTGGATCTGCCCCAGGACATTGTTTGGTTTGGAGATACTAAACAACTCTTCATCCTGGAGCCCAGGACTGTGAGTAAGGTATGAAGGCAATGCAACGCACATAGGCTCTGTGGAGAAAAGGAATATTCACATCACTCTGGAGAATCCCTTTGTGTAGAAAAAATTATCTTGTGCCCTTGAGTATAATGGCTATGGATAAATACTACTCAGTAAAAAGAAACAGAGGTGTTGCAAAAGAGTTAATGAGCAGTTTAGTATTTGTTACTAGTGAGATACATCGATGACTCTCAGAGGACATCTACACAGCAGGACTAAAGCTGAAATAAGCTACACAACTTGAGCTACATCAATTGCGTCACTTAAGTTGAAATAGCTTATTTTGGCTTTTGGCACTATCTACACAGCAGGAAGTTCGAGAAAGAGCACTCTTCCTCCAACTTCCCTTACTCCTTGTAAAATGAGGGTTACAGGAGTCGGAGAAAGAATCCTCCAGCTTGACATTATTTCTACATTATGTCGAGATAACTGCTTGTAGTGTAGACGCGCATATGTTATTTCAGAATAACATCCGTTATTCCAAAATAACTCTGCTGTGAAGACGTACCCTCAGTTGAGGAAGGGGAGAGAAATAACAGCAGCTTCATGACTTTTTCTATGGCCAGTGCAACTGTGAATGCTCCCCTGGCTTTTTATGCACTATATTATGTTTTACTTTGTTAAATGAAGAGCTGATCCTATTAGCCAAATCCAGTCACTTTTCCCCTTTTAGTGTTCCTTTTGCTTTCCTTCATTTTATGTTATGTCTGAAAGATGCTAAATTCAGTTTGCGTGGGATCAATTGTCCTTTAATTGTTTACCAGTTCCATTTAAGTGGATCGCATTTTCACAGGCCTCTTCTGTTTCATGTTTCAAAATCATTAAAAGGTGAATTGAAATATAAATATTTTCATTAGTCATGTATTCAGTTTGATTTCCATGTTCAGGCATTGTTGGTGAGACACTTAAAAGAACTGGCTAATTTGGTGCTGGTCACAGGAGGAACACATGAGCACCAGTAATTCATAACATCTCCAGAGAACACTCAGTGTTTCAATAAATAAGATACAAGAGATTTTTCAAAGGATACATATTTTAACACCTGGCCACATACATCTGAGGATGTAATTTGATATGAAATTGTAGTACCATGCCAACCTGATAATGAAATCTGATAAGAACCGACCATTAATTCTAGCTATCTACTGTGTCCATTTCCCTTTTGGTTTTATTCCTAGATTTTTGTTTTGTTTGGTTTTTGTTTTTTAAACCTCTGAGTAGTTCTGATTCTTGAGATCTGATATCTTATACCCTGCAGGGGACAGCATTGGGCAAAGAACAGTGAAAATCATAAGATAAAAGAGAAAACATTTGCTTTCAATTACCAAATTGTCCTTTGCTAATTAAGGTACAAAAGAGTATTCTTTTTGCCAGGTTAACACCACCATCCCTTTCCCCCCTGAATTATTTATGAAAAATAATTTGGCCACCTAATTCACATTCTCCTCAACAAGAAAAAGATTCCCAACTGTTACTAGCCACTAGCATTACTGAAGGGAAAAGAAATGATGTATAGCATTACTATAAAGCTGAACAGTTTTTTTCTCGACAGCTGTGTAAGCTTCACCATTTTTCAGCAGCTATGTTGAATCCCATCCCTGCTGTCAACATAGATATCAGTTTTCATGAAGGAAAAAAATCAGGTTTCTGCCATTAGCTGTCATTAATATCTCTATATACACACATATGTAAACACACACACACACACACCTACTTTGTTTGTAAATGTGCATGTAACTTCAGGTAGCAATATTTCCTTTTTTTTTTACCTTGGCATTGTTTTAACAAAAGTTCCCCCATGTGGCTCTATATTTAAAAGTGATATTGCAGAAAGGTATATGGTAGCTTTGTTTATTTTGGACAGATGCAAAGAAGTATCTCTGAACTTCTGCCAGTGATCAAAGGAACTGATGATGTAGAACAGATTCATGGGCCATGTCCTATCAGCCTGCACTTTACCCATCAT